TTTCGACGCCATTCATAGACTGTTGGCACAGGAAACCTTTGTGTAGAGAACCATTCATGGATGAATCAACGTGAGTGGGATGGGTACAACCTGCATAGAAGGAAAGAAAGGGAGACATCATGCAAGTGATACATACACAACAAGCAAAAGAAGTGAACATTCAAAGAGAAAAGAGGAAGAAGAGGACAAAAGAGAGAGACCAGTTAGCTACAGTTTGAAATGAAAGAATCTGGTGTGGTCAATTCTTCTTTAGGTGAAAATGACAGAGCAAGTGGACAAAATGATCTGTTCACTTCCTACTTGCAAACCATGTTTTCAGGTCATCACCATCTTTGGAAGCATCATCTAAATAGTTACATATCTTATTCTTCAACCATTTCCAACACCAGCAATGAGTCTTTTAGGTATTGAAAGCATCAACAGTGTCTCTTTCCCTAGCAGTAGTAAGTAAGAAAGAGTCATTCAAAGCTCAATCCAGATTGATGCTCTGCAAGAGGCCGACTTGAAAAGATGCCTATGCTTCCGATGTTGTGATGGCTGTTCTAATTTTATTTTATTTTACTTTATTCCCTAAAATACATTCTAATTTAATTTTCTAATACATTCAAGGTTATGCTCACTAGAGCATAAAATAGATTATATATCCGGTTAAATCTCCCGATCGGATTAGATTTATAATTCTTTGCATGAGAAGCTAACCAATAAGCATTCAGATTCTAAAAATATGAGATATCCTACACAAGTGGAACTTTTACGTGACAAACAAAAATATAAGTGATTGAGGATGAGATTTGATTCTTAAATCTAGCAATCAAACAGTAAGTTGGATGGAATTAATTTCATTTCATTCTTGTATTTGTTGCCCTCATTTCCTTTTGTTTTCTTTAAAATGACATCAAAGACCAAACTCAGATAAAATAGAATGGGGTGAATAATGGTCTCTCAGTTATTAAATGTTCCCTTCGTATTAAAACATTTGTTCTACGGATACCCAAACCACAGATAATATAATTAGTAGATTCAAAGTAGGCAAAGCTTCACATGCTTTAGCTGTGAAAAGCATGACATCAATGCCTGCTTTAAAGTAAGTGGACTTGGATTAGGAAGGCATAAGATGAAAGAAAGTGAAGATAAATAATCCTCCCTTCCTGAGAGGCTAAGAAAAAGACAAATATGGAAATAGAGCATCCACGAATGCTGCATCAGCAGTAGGATAGAGATGAATAAAAAAATATTCTAAATCTAAGTTTTTGATCCACATCTTTATAGATCAATTATTTTATCAACAAAGCTGATTACAGACCACGCAAGACTCAAGACACATAAAACACCAGTGGTTCAAGTCATCAGGAACTTTGGATGATGATGCCGATGCACAAAGAACAATTTAATTCTTTGGAACATTACCTTTGCAGAAATCATGATCGGAACGTAGACATCAATTCAGTAGTTCCATTACCTGCACCTACTACCTCTGGTCCTACAACTTGCTTAAAGCCTATCCAATTGGACAAGTTCATCTAACACACTGCATCTCCTCCATTTATTATTATGCACAGGCACATCTGATGATATTCTTGTTAAGTATGGTGTTTTCTTTTCTCACATACAAAAACGGGATCATCATAAAGATGATGCAACCTCAACATGATTAAGATTACTGTGGCAATTCAACCAACCAGAGTGATGGTGTACTGTGGAAAGCAAGACTTTGTTGTTTGAATCTTAATTTAAATTATTCATTAATATTTGAGTATTTCTAAAAATTTCATGTATATATATATATATATATATATATATATATAAACACACACACACACACACACACATGAAATATTGCATTGCTTCTAAAACTTGTGCTATAAATTGGAAGACATAAGGTAAGGCTTTCTATATTATTACTAAAGGAGGTGACTTATATATCTATTTAAGTGAAGCTTTAATGTCATTGTTTATCCTTGCAGGATATGAAATGTCATCTATATCTGACAAAAAAGATAGATGTACAATTAGGATACATGAACTATCATGAATATATATGTTGATCATCTGATACTCTTTTCATATCATTAGATAGCTGTCACAAGACACAGATAGAAGATGTCCCACCTTCCACTTGAAGTAATTTATTATACCCTAAGAGAACAAGTTAGCTTGTGTTCCATGCAAGAATAGCTTCTTTTAGGCCCCTTTCAATTGTTTTTATTGTATGTTGAATCTGGTGAAAGTGTAGCTTGTGTTGCATGCATGAACACCTTTTAAGTCCCTTTCAATGGTTATCATATGTTGCATCAGTTGAAAGTTAATTAATCTTTTCCACATTTACATGTTTTTGTGCAATCTTTCCAAAGTCAAGTCAAATATTTAATTGGGTGTCTTAGCAAGATATATGCTGTTCTATCTGAAATCTAAAGGAATAGATGGTTTTGCTATACACGAAGACAGCAGTTGCAATTTGGGTACTTTTGTGTTGGGTGAATTTTAGAAAGTGCGAATCAATCTAATCAAAACCAAATGAATGGCTATAGTTTGTGTAAAATAAGCTCAATGTTATATATAAATTTAATTTGAAAATGAAGAAATTTGTAGGTTATTTACATAAGATACATAATATCATATATTGAAACTAATGAAAATATCTTAAATTTTAGGGATCCCTATTAAGTGTGGTTGACAAATGATCTTATGACATGAAACTGAATGAGAAAGGGCAATCAGATTGGTTAGAGATTCCTAACATTAGATCTTTGAATTTACCTCATTTTGCTTGATATTTATTTGAGAATTCACTTATTTATGGGTTATGAAAAATGTATCAATCTTTGTAATCAGACTCAAGTCTAACTTCATTAGTTTTTCTTAGAAAGGAAATCCAAACCCCATAATATTATTTTGGTTGTGTGAACTCATTAGGATATATAACCCATTCTAGATCGTTTAAGTCCACACATTATCCAAAATCCATTCGTCGTATCTCTATGAGAAAATGTTAAAAGACAATATATTTATATACAACTATTAAATATATAGGTCTTTTGCACCCAAATAAGTACTTCGTTTGTCACATTGTTATCAACGAAGTTTCCTCCCTCTCTATCTAATAATTATTGTTGTTGTGATTATGAGTTGGTTCTTGGTAGAATGGAAGCGTCAGCATGAAGAGCTATCCTTATTAATTAATCCAGATAGGTCACATGTAGATTCGTCCTCTTATTTTTCTTATATGGTGAAATTTTAAATTATTCTTTCCATATGAAAATTTTTATTTATTTATTTATTTATTTTGTGGCAAAGTCAAGAACATAGTCCATCTTTCATGACAGTGACGCTTCTCTCTCAACAAGCTATGGAATATACACTTTTGCCTCCCACCAAAAAAAGAAAAAAAAAGAAACTTCAAAATTTGCAAATGTTTTCAATAACATGTAGTTTCAATTAGTTTTATGGTTTATATAATTTTTATTAAAATAACTTATTTTATAATTTCATGATTAAATAAATATTTTTTTAATATCAAACTATCAATGTGTTATTGTCACAAATGGTAGACCTGTCCCACTTATTAATCCAATACTATGAAGTTGAATTGACTTGTCCCACTTATTAAAAGCTATCATGAATATTTAGAAATTAGATGTCTCTTGATAATGTATAAACTAGTTGTTTCTTCTCTTCTCATCTACTTTGAGTGCAGATTTCTTCCAAGTTAAAAAGGATACATTGAGAAAAACAAGATCCTACAAAAAAAAATATGTTAAGATACTCGACGAGTTTTTTTCGATGATTATCGAGGTAGCAAGGAGCTCAAAGAGTTTAGTCTCATATGAGTTCCAAAGGTGATCATATACCTCAAGATATCTTCCTTTTATAAGCCTCAAACTGGTGAGAAATAATTCTTTTCAGATAGTATATTGATTATTATGCATACTTAGGTGATGCCAAATTATTATCATACTCATTAGACTAAATTTTATAGGCCCCAAACATTATTGTAATGAACTCTTATGACTCCAATTAGTCATTGGATTTCATATATCGAATCCCAATTTATCATTAAATTTGTTTATACCGCAAGGACCAATTTGATACCACCTATATAAAGCAAAATTATATAGGATCTTAATTTAAAAAAATAATGAATAAATATTTAGCTTGACTCGATGGAATCTTTGTTGTACATCACACTGATCCCCCTTTACTTGTCTCTGCAATGAGATGATCACAAATAACTGTGGGATAGATTTTGATAAATAAAATAAATTTTATTTTGTCTGAAAATATTTCATGATGTTGAGGATATAAATGCTTCGTTGCACTGGCGTATGAAGCAACTACAACCCAAGTCGGTCAACTGGATCGGTCCTCACCTCTCTTACAAACGCTAACTACAAGGGTATTTTCGTCAAAGTAGATAAAGAGAATCTGAGCCTGTAGCCCCGCAAATGGGTCGATCCTTATCTCTCGCTGTAATCTTTTGTTCCCATATTACCCCTCAGTGGATTGGTATGTGGCCGCCATATCCAATGGTAGTTTCGTCAACTAAAGGATCCAAGAATCCGAGCCGCAGTCCTCGGATCGACTTAACCTCGCTCCGAACACTCAATTCCCAATTACCCCTTGTCAGATTACAATGAGATTCTCCTCGATCCAACGGTCGATATCTCCTTCCGGAAGATGTCGGCAACCCTCGGAACAGATCCGACCGTGATTCCCCTTCATCGTGCGGCTTCGATTCGACGACCCGTCGACCGTGTTCCCATTGGCACTACTCTCAAAACACTCACGTGCGCAATGTAAGGGCGTTTCAGTCATTTTAGTAGATGCGCGCGTCCGGTGAAACTACGGCCACGTTTTCGCACGCGCGCCACACGCTCGCGTGCAGGCGACGGAGCTAGCGACCCACACGTGCCCGTGGCGGCTCCCGCCGAACCGGGTGCCGCCGGTGTCCCCTCGACTTCTCCTATTAAATACTGCTTCGGAGCGAGGCTACGCTCTTAGTTTTGCCCAGAGAAATTCTTGAAGCCACGCCAAAAGTTCGATCTTGAGAGAGAGGGGAAAGCCTTGGCAAATCCCTAAATTGTTGCGCTGTTCTTGGGATCCCTGTAATTTCTTGCGTGATTTGTAGGATTAAGTATGTTCCTTTACTTTCTTGCGCGATTTTTTTCCCTTTGTTTTGTTACTGAGTTAGATCCCTTCAATTTCTTGCGTGATTTACGAATCAGTCGTGTTCTTTCAGTTTCTTGTGTGATTTGGATTCCCTTTTATAATTGACAGAGAAGCAATAATTGGGCCTTTGTTGTTTCTTTTGGCTCAAGATGAATTAGATATTATGGCTATCATGGCCATTTCTTGGAAATTATGCAGGTTCTTGTAGGATGCAGTTCTTGGTGATTTAAGAGGTTGATTGGTTGATTTTGGGCTGAAAATTCACCTTTTTGAACAATTGACGATGATGGTTGTATCATGGAAGTATATGTGGTTTTCCTTTTCTCAAGTTCTGCCATGAACTATTATTCATTTTGTTTTTAGGACTCCTAATTTACTTTAAAATTGACACGAAGCTGGTCTGGTGGTTTTGAACAAACGGATAATAGATGCAACTAGGAATTGTTTGGTTAAGTAAAAGTAAAATTTTGAGCTGATATAATCTGCTTTTCAGATGGATACTGCAATTACTGATACTGTGTGGGTTTGCTAAAATCTCACTTAGAAGTATTTATAGACAAAGTTGAAGTGTTGCGTAATTGATTTGATTGGTTGCCTAATAATGAATATTGTGTTATCTCTGGGCAGTTAGATTGGGATTTTGGCCCTTTTGTGATAAGATCCTTTGTAGATCTAGTCTTTGCTTGTATGTTGCTTGAATGGAATTTTCTGAAATTGGATGTTGATTTTTATTTTTTCTCAAATTTGATTCAGGACATGAGATCATCAGAAGCAATTCCAATTGGGGCTGTGGAACAACTTCATTTTGTTCCTAGCATTCGTTCTGGTAGCTTTGCTGCCATTGGCCCTAGGAGATATATGGAAGATGAACACATCCGCATCGATGATCTTTCAACGCACTTGGGCTCCATGCTTAGGTGCCCGACACCGAGCGCGTTCTACGGGGTAATTAACTAGTATATGACATGGTAAATTAATTCTGTCTGTTGTGCGAAGCTGATTTGATAACCAGGATTTCCGACATTGGTTCACAGGTTTTCGATGGCCATGGAGGTCCGGATGCAGCAGCTTTCTTCAAAAGGCATGCCATAAGGTTTTTATTTGAAGATGCAGAGTTCCCACAGGCATTTGAACCCAACAGAGATTTCTTGAACTCAGTTGAGGACTCTGTGAAGATGTCATACCTTGCTGCTGATCTTGCCTTGGGTGATGATTCCACTATTAGCAGCTCTTCCGGGACTACGGCACTCACAGCACTTGTGTTTGGGAGGTATGTAATCATCAAATGAAATTGCCTTGGATCATATATTTATGACAACATTGCTTGTCGATTTTGGTTGGTTGTTATCTTGTTCTGTTGGATCTTCATTTAAGAGTTCTTACTGAATCATCGAGGTTTGTAATCATCAAATGAAATTGCCCTTGGTCGTAGATCTATGATAACACTGCTTGTCGATTTTGGTTGTTCTCTTGCTTTGTTGGACCTTCATGCAACAATTCTTACCGAAACACGTAGAACTCACAGCACTTGGTGTCTGTCTGGGAAGCATGTAGTCATCAAATGAAATTGCCCCGGATCATAGATTTATGATAACATTGGTTGTTGTTTTACTTTGTTGGATCTTCATTCAAGAGTTCTTATGGAATCATGGAAGACCACCTTAGATCTCAGATTTATGGTCTCATTATTGTTTGCTTAGGAGATATTCTTTTTGTTTCTGTTAATTTCTAATCGGGTGCTCAGTTGAAGATAAAAGACACACTTGGGTCTCAGATCTTTGGTATTAGCGGTGTTTGCCGAAGGAGTTGTATAATTTGTGCTTCCCAAGAGTTCTGGATCACCAATTAATTGTGCAATTATAAATGGGTCTTTGATGGAATCCTCCTACAACTCCTAGTTAGTTGTCACTGTAGTTTTATTCCTTTTTACATGACTTGTGTTGATCCGTTTTGTCAAATTTGTACAGGCATCTTGTGGTTGCCAATGCTGGGGATTGCCGAGCTGTCCTATGTAGGAAAGGTGAAGCAGTGGAAATGTCACAGGATCACCGACCCATCTATGCTGCGGAACGCCTTAGGGTTGAGGCTTCCGGAGGCTACATTGATGATGGTTATCTCAACGGGGTGCTATCAGTCACCCGTGCCTTGGGAGATTGGGACATCAAAACATCTCGAGACTCGCTGTCGCCTCTGATTGCAGAACCTGAGTTCAAGCGGGTCATGCTTACCGAGGACGACGAATTCTTAATCATTGCTTGTGACGGGATATGGGATGTGATGTCGAGCCAGCATGCTGTTGGCATCGTGCGCAGGGGGCTCGGGCGGCACGACAACCCCGAGCAATGTGCTAGAGAGCTAGTGCTGGAGGCGCTGAGGCTCAAGACATTCGACAACCTCACAGTCATCGTGGTCTGCTTCTCCGATGAATCTCGTAATTCTTCACCCACCCTCAGGTTCGGAAGTCGGAAAAGCTTATCGGTGGATGCTCTGTGCAACCTGAAGAGCTGGTTGGATAAAGATGGCTATAAATGAGTTTTGAGTAAGGATTGTTGAAGATAACTAAAAACTATGATAAAGAAACCTCCATTAATCCTTAACTTCGGCTGGGTAGAGAGAGGAGACGAGCAGTTTTTGTGGCATGGTGTTTCATGCATTGTTCTTATGGGAAGAAGGGGGGAAGAGCGGTTGTCTGTAAGTAATATTGAAGGTGGCATGGTGTATCAGGATGATGATGATGGTGTACATTAATTACTTCTTTTTGCTACGTAAAAGAACCGCTTTGTCATCCGTCATTGTCAAATAAAAGTTTTCCTGGTTGGCAAATCATTATTTCTTCAAATATATCTTCTACATTAGTCGCTTCCAAGTATCAAATTACTTTGTTTCCTTCTGCTCATGTCCCCGTACCTCGAACATTCACTCGCTATGTATATTGTTTCAGCTTTATTCGATCTCATTTTGGCACATTAACGCAACTGCGTTACGGTCAAATTGTTCCTTTAATCCCGTAAAATTGGTTAAGGTAGGATCCCACCGATCTCTAAATTAGCAAGTGAGTTTTCAATATATATATATAATCTATAGTAATATACTTTTATCATATGACACTCTCATATTTAATTTTCACTTGAACGTTTTTTTAAAAGATAATTTAAGATTTTTAAATTTATTATAAAATTAAAATAAATTAATATAAAAATTAATATATATTTTTAATATATTCTCATGGAACTCGAGTATAATAATTTTTCTAAGTAAATTGTGAGGAGTTGAAAGAGAAGAAAAAGAGGAAGGAGTAGAAGAAAAAAAAGAAGATGATGAGAGAGATAGATGAAAGGGTCAGTGAACGAAGACGGAGATAGAGTTATTAAAATTTAATTGAATTGACCCTGTTCATCTCAAAAAATCCAATTCAATCCTTAAAAACTGAGTCAACCTTAATAATGAAAGAGTCAGTGAATAAGAGGTGGGAGGTAGAGTTAAAGAATGAAATGAGAACGAGGAGGTGATAGGGGAGATGGGGATAATTTGAAAAACTTGAAGAATAATATATAACTTAATTAAATCAAATCAAATAATTAAAATTTAATTGAATTGAATAGATCCTGTCCATCTAAAAAAAAATCCAATTCAATCCTTAAAAACTGAGACAAATTTAATAATGAAAGGAGTCAGTGAATAAGAGGAGAAGGAGACAATGGACGTAGATATAGAGTGAAGGGAGGACGAGGAGGTGGTAGACGAGACAACAAGAGTGGGGATAATTTGAAAAACTCGAAGAATAATATAAAACTTAATTAAATAATTAAAATTCAATTGACTTGAATTGATCCTGTTCATCTCAAAAAATCCAATTCAATCATTAAAAACTGAGTCAAACTTAATAATGAAAGGACAATCATTATTTTTTTACAAATCAAATAAAAATATTTTGATCAAAACCTAGAAAAAAATATCCATCTAATAAAAACCAAATATGGGACATCATATGATAAAAACCCATTATTAAGATCTTTTTTCAATATGTTACCCCAAATTTTCTAGGGTGTTTTTCTTTCCATAAGTGACCCAAAAAAAAAATCTAATTTCGAGAGTTCAATACGAGGAGGAAGCATGCGCTTAGAGTTTATGGTTGGATTATGTTGTTATAGGGAGACATCATAGCCGGGAATTATGTAATTATAGCAGATGAGAGATGAGATCTCCAAATATTGATTGAAAATTACAAAAATTTCAAAGAAATTGATGTCAATCCAGTTTAGAGAGATCACAGTACTATGATAAAAATAGCTCGTATAACTGTGAAGATAGGGAGAATTAACATGTTATACCCAGAATTAGGGCTAGGATATTTTGGGGATTTTATTATTGAATTTTGATTTAGAACTAATTAATAGAGTTCTAAAGTAGGGAATTAGAGAGGATGATTTTTCTAATTGGGTGAGGCATGGAGTTCGATTAGAGATGGGAATCAAATGCATAATTGTCCTAATCGGATTAGAAGCAGAATATGATTTGATATAAGAGTTCCAATTCATTTGAAATAGACTCCTAATTGATTTAGAACTAATAATTTTATCAAGAAATAGGATTTAGAAATTATCTTGGCCCATTAAGTATGTAACATACCATGGCCTTGTAGAACAAAGTCAAAAAGGTTTATCAACCACAAAAATACCGCAAAGGGTTCTCTCAAGAAACCTGGAAAACTACATAATCTTGAATAATTTGGTGGGTCAACCCATTGATGAAGTGCAATCTATCATGCATAACTTCTGCAAGAAACGATACATGATCTTAAGGTCACTTCAGCCACAATCCACGAATTGAGCAAATGAGAACAAGGAAATGGCAGAGAGAGGACATGAAAGGGATAAATAGCTGAATTTTGATGTACCCAACCCACTTGTTTCCTTTCTATAAAATGCAATTAGAATTAAAAGATATATAACCGAAGCAGGTGCATCATTCTTTCCCTGAAGCCTAAATCATGATTCAAGAAGACATGCTAATGATTTAGGATCAATGTGCACAATTAAGAGATCATGAGTTTGAGTCATGATGAAGAGTAAAATGACTGCAACTACTTGGTGTCATAGCATCCTAAATCATAAATATTTGAAACCATACATGTCAAGGACCCAATGATCATGTAATTTTTTTTTGTCAATCACAGAAAGCTCTACATAGGTGAAAATTAGACATGGAATAGTACTCTTACAATGATTCAAAATGTTTCACATTGGCAATCATAGTCAAAAAGATCAAGCAATTGACCTTATTCAATAACAACAAGTGCATTTCAAGCATAAAATAGCATATCCATGACAAGAGCAAAAACCCATCACAAAAAAAGAAAAAAAATACTAAAATTTGTTACATTAATTCCTCTTGCATCAACTAAATCAATAGCAAAATAAAGCACTAAATTATGGAACAAACCGCATTACCATCCAATCTGCTAAACAAGAAGAACAAGAATGTATTGCCATCTGAAGAACTTAAACCACCTATTATTACCAAGCAAAAAAGTAATGTAACACAAAACTGAAACATCTCAAACGGTAACAGAAGATTACCGATTTGTCATCATACATCCATCCATTTCGCAGGAACAATCTAAAGATGACATCTTGGAATCAGGTCAGTCCTGATTATTTTGACGTCAGACATTTCGACAAAATCATTCAGAAAAAAGACTAAAAGTAGATAAAAAGATGCTTTTTGATGCGGAAGAGCAGCGGCTCACTCACCTTGCGCCTTCTGGTAGACGTATGTGAGGCCGCATTTACCGCAATAATGGCGGTCGAAGTGGTTGGCCATGAAGGTACCGGCGCCGCACTCGGCGTTGGGGCACTCCTTCCGGAGCCTGGTGACCTTGCCGGTGGCGTCGTCGACCTTGTAGAACTGGAGCACGGCGAGCTTCACCTTCTTCTTCTTGTGCTTGATCTTCTTGGGCTTGGTGTAGGTCTTCTTCTTGCGTTTCTTGGCGCCGCCGCGCAGGCGGAGGACGAGGTGGAGGGTGGACTCCTTCTGGATGTTGTAGTCGGCGAGGGTGCGGCCGTCCTCGAGCTGCTTCCCGGCGAAGATGAGCCGCTGCTGGTCCTGAGGAATCCCTTCCTTGTCCTGGATCTTGGCCTTGACGTTGTCGATGGCGTCCGATGACTCCACCTCGAGGGTAATCGTCTTCCCGGTGAGGGTCTTCACGAAGATCTGCATCTTTCCGCCACCGCAGCGGCTGCTAGCGTTAGAGTTCGGCCTCCGACGCAGACGCGCAGAGAAGGGTTAGGGCTTGGGCCTCCTCCGTAAAGGAGAGCCCTTGTATTTGTTGTTCTCGGTGTGCTGATTCGCGGGGCACCGTATTATAGTGATCAAGTCGATCCTGACCGTAGATGCAGGCAAGTAATTATTTTGAGTTGGAGGAAAGAAAAGAAACTGATGTTATTAATCAGACAAACTGATAGGCTTTCTCACTCCCACGGATCATCTCCAGTTGTCATCCAGTCTTCGTCTCTGTCTTCATAGGTCAGTAGGTGAGTCTTCTCTGAAGGCATTTGGGAGAACATGAGAGCATGGATCACACCAATTTAATCGTAAGGATGTTTAGCAAACAAATAGTTAGATTGATACTGCATGTAAGTAGTGGATTCAATCAGCTCTTACATATGATTGGGGTCTTAAACTTGACCGTCTTAAACGAGTCAAAGTTTCGTGCCAATTGCAGCTCCCTCCATGTAAACCTTCACAAAGAATGTCTCTGAAAGACTTTGATGAAGCTTCGCGGCGTCCTCAAGTGTGCTCCTAAAAAGTGGTCTGATCGGTGGCCAGTGGGATGGTTGGTCTCTAAGAAGGTGTTGAAGAGAACAGAGCAGAAGTTTGAGTGCCAACAGAATCTACACTGGACACAATTCATTACAAGTGGATGAGGAAGGAAACTTTGTGTTCAGTATTATCACCAAAAAAAGGGGATAGAATGAAAGAAAATGGAGAAGGCATGGTATTTGACAAATGTAGGATGAAACCAGAGTGTCATGACAAATGCTAGCATCATCCGTATGAGACTCATCTAAGTGGTGGTTCTTTCTGACTAATAATCTTCCATTTCTCATGGTCCGAGTTAATGAGATAATGTTCGAATCATTGATCCAAAATTCTTATGCTATGTTTTGATAGTATAGACTTAAAAGGAGAAACAAACTTAGTGGTTTGTTTAGATGTCTATCTTTCTTTAGCAGAGCTCTCATGTAGAAGAGAGGATGTTTCTCCTTGGCTGAGAGATACAAAATGTAGAGCAGAGAGCAGGGTGGCTGCTGCTGTCCACGGAAGAAGAAGAAGAGGAATCACTCTATGTCCTCCAATGGCTTGTTTGTCACAGAAGATAAGGAATGATGAAGCTAAGAGACTATAGCTTTATGTTGCACAAAAAAAATATGAATAGGAGGCAAAGGAATGTGAATGGGGGATTCCATGAAGCACATTGTTAGGTTCTTTAACTGGTATTGGCTAATGGGGGTGATAGCCCACAAGTATTCTCGAGTGACAAGACCATGAACGCCACTTCCCCTGCCAATGCTATGAATCAAGCCTCGAAAAGACCTTACTTCAATGTCAAGTCTCTCGTTTCAATAAAGATGTTGGCTTTGTGTAGGGTATTGATGCAGTGATCTTGTAGAAAGAGATAATAAGTTCTATCTGATCCCATTTTATGGAGCTGATTAAAAGACTATGACTAGGAGAGTTGACATAAGAACAACCCAGCTTGCAGCATGAGATTTGCTCAGATATGCAGAATATAACTTGTCTGTGAATATTATTAGCAAACGATAGTTTGTTCTTCATGGCAGCCATGTCAGTTTCCATCCCTTTCTTAGCTCTTTGTGTTTCTTCTGTTTGCTTCATATCTCCCTCCTCTTTCCTTCTTTTAAGATATCCCTCTCAATTTATTTCTTCATATTTGTCGTCGACATAAGATGATGACATGAATTAGGCCATATCTGAACTGTATCGATGCCCTTTTTTCTTTGGCACACATTTAGTCTCCATCACCATGATCTAAAGCATCATTAGTCTCATCGGCCTTTTCCACCCAAAGCCTTTAAGATGGGCAATTAATCAGACTCCACTACATGTCTGTAACAATCATGTAGGGAAGAAGAATGATATCTTTGAGCCATGGCGTTTGATGGTTTTGCAAGCTCGAAGATGATGATGCAAGCTGTGACGAAAGATGCACATCATTTTTCCACTGAGGAAGAGAAGAGTGTGATTGGTGAGAAGAGATGTAACAACACTAGTAAGCTTTTCTTCTTTCTCATGTTGCAAGGGTGGATTGCCATCACTCGTGTCTCTCTGTGACATTCTTTTCATGGATCAAAAGCGAAACAACTTTACTTTTTTTCTCTGGGAGTTAAGCTTATAGGAAGGTTTATTAACAGTGGTTAAACCACCACATAATGCTTGATTGTGTTATGTAGCTTTGTTCACAAGTCATCTAAAAAACGAAAGATTCCTTTGGAAGAAAAAGGAAAGAATTTATATATATATATATATATATATATATATATATATATATCTTTGGAGTAATTGGTTGAATATAATTTACAACATTATTATTCCCATCTTGTAAGTAACTAAGATGATTAGCCTTTGAAAAGATGAATGTCCTCAACATAATATTTATTTATGACACATTGGCTAGTGCAAGAGTGGGTTGTTTATTATATGTCCTAAAGACAAAGGCAATTTGCATGGGAAAAGCTTCCTTTTATCATGCTTTAGGTTACTCACAACCAACCCATTTCATCAAACCTTGACAAGATAAGTGTTGAGTAGGGACCTGAAGAGAGGCATACATAGGAAGTGGTCCATTTGTGGGGCATGGAGTTACTGTCGAACCCCCCCCCCCCCCCCCCCCC